AGGCCCACTTTGCCCCGTGAACTCTCAATTTTGGTATCTAGTTACCACTTTCATTATTAAACTAACGGAGGTGTCATGTGTCAAAATCTAAGGAATATATCTCATAAATTCGTGTAATCCCTACAACATAAAAACAACAAAAATAATTAACTAGAGGATAAGTGGAGAAAAATTGTCAAAAATGACTAAACCTGCCGCGTGCAAGATTAGCACAAGGCATGTTTAATCCCCTTTTAAGATTGCTTGCATTGTTTATTTTTACAAAAGGCATGTTCAATTCTTCATATGTAGTTATTTAGGGTTAGAAAAAGCAGGGTTCTTATTTATGCACAAATAGGGCTTTTTTAAATCCCTTTCGATTCTGTTGGAATTATCTAGTCATACATTGTCAGATTATCTTTGCATCATAAATTCATAATTAGGCTTTTTATCATGTTATTATCTAATTTTTACTGAATTGCTAGGATTTTTCACGATATTGTCAAAAATTCATGTTCTCGTATTCGTTGATTCAATTGATTGTTACTATGTGACATCTCATTGAAAATTTTGAATTTCTATATGTTAAATCGTTTACTTTATCTGAAAACTTTGCCTCAAGATAATATGGATAAACTTAGGGGTATTTAAGTGCAAATAACACTTGAAAAAAAATCATTCTATAGCAGATATCATCTCAAACATATCCCATACATACACATATCTTCAAACTGTCATCAGTGATGCTTTGCATTATGTTTGACCTTGTGAGAAAAATAAAAAAATTTCTTGTTTATTAGAATTAGGAGTTGACTAACATGATTTGTATTGAAATAATTGCATTGGTGTGATCTCCTACTCTTTAACATGACAAACGAGCCAAATGCTTTTTATGCACTATACTTATGAGTAACATAAAGGCGTTGTCATAAGCAAGAGTTTTTTAAGTTGTACTGAGTTTAAAGAGGAATTGCTCTTTTTTTAACTACATTTAATAACTACCTTTTTTGTTTGCTAGATTGTTTCTACTCTACTTAATAATTTTTATCTTGTTATGTGTTCAAACAAGTATAGACGGATAGTTTTGGGTGGGTTTGCATTGTGGGGGCATGTTAAACTTGACCACAGATTGAAGTAATATAGAAGGGTTTATTAAATTATTTTTTATTTGATGTTTATGATTGACAGAGCTTATAAGAGATATATTGGTGTTGTAAATAGGTGAAAATGGTAAATATAAGACATTGCATTATTATATCCCTGGAACATCATTTAGTCTGGATCGTTGATGATGATGTTAATTCAGCCTTATCAAAGGCTCATGCCTCACGCGCCCTATGATGCGAAGCAGTGGCAAAGTGCCCCACATTGGATGCGGCAGCACCTTTTGCGACTCACAAGCACACTACGAGAAGTACAACGTGTATGTGAGAGATATCCTCTTCTGTTTTTGTTCTTTAACATTTCACTCGGGTCTTTATACCCGATAACTTATAACCTTAAAAAGCGAAATAAACACCTATTAAACCTTTTTAGTCGCTCATTTAAGGTTCCTAACTAATCTTCGTTTTCTACTTGATTTTGTTGCGATATTAGTCTTGATTGACCTTTGATTTGGAAAATTATGAACTTCGCTACTATGTTGGATGTGTTAGCATTAAGAATCAATACCATATTTTGCAATTTGGTAGCAAATATTAGTTATCTTTAAACATTTTTTTATGTAAAATTCTTAAATATGTTTTTTCATGCTTGATCATTTATCTTGAAAATTATGTATGCATTGTGGGCCTCACTTCACTCATGCGCGCAAATTGTGTTGTGCTTTGTTTATGTATGCGCAAAAGGATCGCATTGTGCCTTGCGCATTGGTAACACTAGATATTATAAGTCTTTTAGTGAGCATGCCTAAGGGTAGGATTTTAAACATTTAGATGGAACATTTGGAGGGTGATATTGACCAAATTCAAGCCTTTGAAACTCAACAATATGATCCTATTCTGATTGACCAAGCGCAGCCCTCTTAATATGTACCTATACACCCTGGACCTTAATATGAAGGACGATGCACAATTAAAAAAATAGTAAGGACTAAATATGACAATATCACTCTTATTATGATGACAATGAGAAAGAAGATCCAAATAATTTGGATTTGTTTGATAAATACACAAAGCTGGAGGAAGAAAAAAATGATCATGAGTATATTCCAATGTGAGAATTCTTAAGGAAATTGCATAAGAAAATGAAAGCGATTGATGGTGTAGAATAAGATCTCACAGATGAGGGAGGAAATGATTCAGACAG